GTGCTACCATATTTAGAGATTATACAGGTTATGGTTTCTGTAGTTCTAGATTGACATTGTCCATATAAGGGCATAGTGCTACCATATTTAGAGATTATAAAGGTTAAGGTTTCTGTAGTTCCAGATTGACATTGTCCATATAAGGGCATAGTGCTACCATATTTAGAGATTATACAGGTTAAGGTTTCTGTAGTTCCAGATTGACATTGTCCATATAAGGGCATAGTGCTACCATATTTAGAGATTATACAGGTTAAGGTTTCTGTAGTTCCAGTTTGACATTGTCCATATAAAGGCATAGTACTACCATATTTAGAGATTATACAGGTCATTGGTTTCTCTAGTTCCAGATTGACGATGTCCATATAAGGGCATAGTACTACCATATTTAGAGATTATACAGGTCATTGGTTTCTGTAGTTCCAGTTTGACATTGTCTATACAAGGGCATAGTGCTACCATATTTAGAGATTATACAGGTTAAGGTTTCTGTAGTTCCAGATTGACGATGTCCATATAAAGGCATAGTGCTACCATATTTAGAGGTTATACAGGTCATTGGTTTCTCTAGTTCCAGATTGACGATGTCCATATAAGGGCATAGTTCAACCATATTTAGAGATTACACAGGTCATTGGTTTCTCTAGTTCCAGATTGACGGTGTCCATATAAAGGCATAGTGCTACCATATTTAGAGATTATACAGGTCATTGGTTTTTCTAGTTCCAGATTGACGATGTCCATATAAAGGCATAGTGCTACCATATTTAGAGATTATACAGGTTAAGGTTTCTGTAGTTCCAGTTTGACATTGTCCATATAAGGGCATAGTGCAACCATATTTAGAGATTATACAGGTCATTGGTTTCTCTAGTTCCAGATTGACGATGTCCATATAAGGGCATAGTTCAACCATATTTAGAGATTACACAGGTCATTGGTTTCTCTAGTTCCAGATTGACGATGTCCATATAAAGGCATAGTGCTGCCATATTTAGAGATTATACAGGTTAAGGTTTCTGTAGCTCCAGATTGACATTGTCCATATAAGGACATAGTACTACCATATTTAGAGAATATTGAGATTATGGTTTCTGTAGTTCCAGATTGACGATGACCATATAAAGGCATAGTGCTACCATATTTAGAGATTATACAGGTTATGGTTTCAGTAGTTCCAGATTGACATTGTCCATATAAGGGCATAATACTACCATATTTAGAGAATATTCAGATTATGGTTTCTGTAGTTCCAGATTGATGATGTCCATATAAAGGCATAGTGCTACCATATTTAGAGATTATACAGGTTATGGTTTCAGTAGTTCCAGATTGACATTGTCCATATAAGGGCATAATACTACCATATTTAGAGATTATACAGGTTATGGTTTCTGTAGTTCCATATTGACATTGTCCATATAAGGGCATAGTACTACCATATTCAGAGAATATTCAGATTATGGTTTCTGTAGTTCCAGATTGACGATGTCCATATAAAGGCATAGTGCTACCATATTTAGAGATTATACAGGTTATGGTTTCTGTAGTTCTAGATTGACATTGTCCATATAAGGGCATAGTGCTACCATATTTAGAGATCATAAAGGTTATGGTTTCTGTAGTTCCAGATTGATATTGTCCATATAAGGGCATAGTGCTACCATATTTAGAGATTATACAGGTTATGGTTTCTGTAGTTCCAGATTGACG